AGAGTCAAGGAGCAAGAATTCAAAGAAATGAGGAGAGTCTTAGGAACCTCCAGGACATCTTTAAACGCTCCAATATCCGAATTATAGGGGTACCAGAAGGGGGAAAGACACAACCACCAGTGGAAAAATTATTTGGACAAATAATAAAAGAAAATTTCCCCAATCTGGCAAAGGAAATAGACTTCCAAGAAATCCAAGAAGCTCAGAGAGTACCAAAAAAGTTGGACTCAAGAAGAAACACACCAAGGCATATCATAATTACATTAGCCAAAATTAAAATGAAGGAGAGAATCCTAGAAGCAGCAAGAGCTAAGGGGACAATCACCTACAAAGGAGTCCCCATCAGACTGTCAGCAGATTTCTCAAAAGAGACCTTACAGGCAAGAAGGGGCTGGAAAGAAATATTCCAAGTCATGAAATCTAAAGACCTACAACCAAGATTGCTCTATCCAGCAAAACTTTCATTTAGAATGGAAGGACAGATAAGGTGCTTCTCAGATAAGATCAAATTCAAGGAGTTCATCATCACCAAGCCCTTATTATATGAAATGTTAAAGGGACTTATCTAAGAAAAAGAAGTTAAAGAAACATGAACAGTGAAAGAACAACAAGCTCACAGTTATTAACAACCACACCTAAAACAAAAGCAAACTAAAAGAACAGCTAGATCAGGAGTGGAAACATAGAAATGAAGATCTCAAGGAGGGTTAGCAACAGGGGGATGGGAGGAGGAGATGGGGGGAGAAGGTACAGAAAATAAGTAGCATAGACAGTAGATAGAAAATAGATGGGGGGGCAAGAATAGCATGGGAAATATAGAACCTAAAGGACTTGAGACACATGGACATAAACTAAAGGGGGGGTAATGGTGGGGATGGGGGGGCAGGGTGGAGGGGAATGAAGGGGGGAATAGAACAACTGTAACAGCATAATCAATTAAAAAATAAATTAAAAAAATAGTAAGATATGAAAGTCGAAATTACTCCTTGACCCCTGGGATGTGGCTTGGGTGCTGTGTTAGCAGGCATGAAAACAATACCAACCTCATTGTATACCTACCTCCATCAGAGCTCTCGGGCGACCAGGTGCATTCACTGGTCAGTGAACAGTAATACTTTGAAAGGAGTATTTTTTCCTGAGCAGCAGATCTCAGTAGTGGGCTTAAAGATGCAGTAAACTATGTTGTAAACAGATGTGTTGTCATCTAGGCCAGAGGTGTCAAACTCATTTTCACTGGGGACCACATCAGCCTCAGGGTTACTTTTAAAGGACCGAAATAATTTTAGAACTATATAAACGTAACTACTCCTTGACTGTTAAGGAGTTGCAATTACATTTGGCCCTTTCAGGGCAACCAGGAAGCTGGTGTGGCTCCTGGTGAAAATGAGTTTGACACCCCCAATCTAGGCTTTGTTCTATTTATAAATAGAGCACAGGCAGAGTTGATTTAGCATAGTTCTTAAGGGCCCTAGGATTTTTGGAATGGAGAATGAGCACTGACTTTACCAGCTGCATTTCCATAACAAAAGAGTCAGCCTGACCTTTGAAGCCACGCCTTGTGTTCTGTTCTCTTCTCTGGCTCTAAAAGTCTTAGATGGCAGCTTCTGATAAAAGGCTTCTTTGTCTACATCAAAATATGTTGTGTAGTATTGCTGCCTTCATTGTCTTAGCTAGGTCTTTTGAGTAACTTGCTGCAGCTCCTACAGCAAGTAGAGAGGGGGGAAGGGAGGGAGAAAAACATGGGTTAGTTGTCTCTCACATGCCCCCAGAAGGGGGCCTAGCCTGCAACCCAGGCATGTGCCCTGACTGGGAATCAAACTGGTGACCTTTTAAGTTTGCGGGCCGACACAATCCACTGAGCCACACCAGCTAGGGCCACCTTGAAATTTTATGTTGTGGAGATGCCTTCTTACTTAAACCTCACGAACCCAGCCTCTGCTAGCTTTCAACTTTCCTTCTGCAGTTTCCTCACCTCTCTCAGCCTTCACAGAATTGAAGAGTTAGGGCCTTGCTCTGGATTAGGCTTTGAATTCAGGGAATGTTGTGGCTAGTTTGAGCTCATCCTGACAACGTAAAACTTTCTTCATATCAGCAATAAGGTTGTTTTGCTTCTTATCATATGTATCTTCACTGGAGTTGCACTTCTAGTTCTAATTTCCTTCAAGAACTTTTTCTTTGCATTCACAGCTTGGCTAACTGGTACAAAAGGCCTAGCTTTTGACCTGTCTTGGCTTTTGATATGCCTTCCTCTCTGAGTTCAGTCATTTCTAGCTTTTAAATTAAAGTAAGACTTCCTTTCACTTGAACACTTAGAGTTCATAGTAACATTATTAATTGGCCTAATTTCAATATTGTTGTGTCTCAGGGAACAGGGAGGCTCCAGGAGAGGAGAGATGGGAGTGCCTGGGTGGTAGAGCCGTCGGACCACATTCAGTATTTATCAGTTCTATTCATTGTCTTGTATGAGAGCTGGTCATGACATATCAATACCATTAAAATACAGGGTCACCGATCACCATAACAAATACAATAATAATGAAAAACTTTGAAATATCACTAGAATTACCAATTGTGATATAGAGACACATGTGCAAAAGCTTTTGCAAAAATGGCACCTATAGGCTTGGCTAGATGCAGGGTTGCCAGAGACTGTCAATTTGTAAAAAAATTGCAATAGCTGCAAAGTACAATCAGGTGCAGTGCATTTAAAGAAGGTATGCTCAAACCATTTACGTAATTTTTTAAAAAAAAAAAGAAAACAAACTTCTCCCCCCCCCAAAAAAAAAAAAAAAAGGTGTGCAGAATAATACTATGTTTTACTTTTTTATATATTCATATGTAGTAACATCCTAAAAACATGCATGGCAGTCAGTGCACCTAATTTAGGATATATTTATGTATAAGAAGAGAAGAGGAACATAGAGAGCAGGTAGTGAGTCATAAGAATCTTTAACTATACGTATAATATTTAGAGGAGGAAAAAGGAAATAAGGCTGAATGCTAATATTTGGTGAAGTCAGGTTGTATGTGTACTTGCATGTTTGAAATATTGAATAGAAGATCTTACGGGTGAGATAATGCATCGAGTGTGGCAAAGTGGAACTGTAGAAGTATATTTTGGTGGTAGAATCACTTGGTCTTATAAGTAATGATTTGGGTGTGGGAAGTAAGGGAGAGACCATGTTAAGGATGAGTCCAGATTTGGGGCCTGAGAAACTATTTGGAGATGGTGTGTCATTTATGAGAGAACACTAAGACCGTGGTAGGAACAGGTTTGGGAAAAGATGGTACATTTTGCTTTGGATAAAGGGAATGATAGATATAAGGTAGGTGGTTAAGTAACTAAATTTAAGATCAAAAAATGATTTAGAACCCTGGCTGGTGTGGCTCAGTGGATTGAGTGTTGGCCTGCAAACCAAAGGGTCACGGGTTTGATTCTTAGGACACATGCCTGGGTTGTGGGCCAGGACCCCAGGGGTCGCACAAGAGGCAACTGCACATTGATGTTCTCTCCTTCTCTGTCTCCTTCCTTTCCCCTCCCTAGAAATAAATTTAAGAAATCTTTTTAAAAATATTTAGACTGGAGATATAAATTTAGTAACCATGGCATATCTCTGGTATTGAAAGCCTTAAGAATAGATAAGATTATCCAGGAAATACATACACTCATATACACAATGGGGCACAGTTGTCATACAAATCAACAATTAATAAGTAATAGTATGGGAATAAGCTTTTGTGTACTTAAGCGGTAAATCTGCTTTTGCCCATGCCTCTATGTGGTAAAAAGAAAGGGGATCCAAAACCCTTTCCCCTAGAAACTCCCAGTGGGCAGAGGAGAGGTCAGCCAAGGGAACAAACTAAGGAGTGGCTAGAAAACCAGGACAGTGGAGTGTCGTGGAAGCCAAGATAAATTTGTATTTCAGGTGGATGAAGTACATTGGCAGATCCTAGAAGGGCTGCAGAAAACAGTGATGTGTACTTGAAATGATCTTAACTTTTGTCCACGTTTGTTTCCACACACTTGCATGTGGACTTATTGAAGGCAGGACTGTCCTCTCTGAGTCAGGAGAGTGTCTGGTACATAATAGGCACCCAAGTATTTGTTGATGGATTGATTTATCAGATACTGTGAGAGCTAGTTATTTTCTGCCACTGCCCTTCAATGCTTAAGAGCACAAGTAGAGAGATGGTTACATTGTGAGATTCATTCTGATACTATTTTCATGGCAAGGGTAAAGAAAAATGTCATGTTAGAAAACCACCAGAAGAGAGGATTAAAAATAGTCTTACGTTAGATCCGGTTATTGGCCTAGGCTGCCATGCACCTTCCTTTCAAGGACATGTTGTTAGAGTATCTGCAATAGAAGCTCCATTGTTTTGTGTGATTTTTTAAGAAACAAGTTGTTAAACCTTGAGTATTAGAAGTTTTGTACGTTTGTAAGTTTAGAATGTTTGTGTTTGATGCTGTGGTAGGGGATACACAACAAATAAGATGTGATACACAGCCAAAGAACTTTTTCTTTAGTAGTGGTTAGTACATGGTAACATTAGTTAACATCCTAAATTTACTGTGTGATGGTTACTCCTCTAAGCCCTTTAGAAGTATTTATTTTTTCATCTACAAGCCACTAAGGTAGGTATTATTATTACTGATCTGATTTTATAAATTAACAAAATTGAGACCCAGGGGAGTAAAGTTACTTGTTCATGATCCTGTGGCTAATAGGTGGCAGAGCCAGAATTTGAACCAGGAATTCTGACATTGTCTCTCCACAGCACACTCAGTGTTGGAGGCTGAATGCTGTTCAGAGGCCACTTCCTTAGAGAAACCTCCCCTGGTGGCTGTGTGCTCTGACCCTTCCCCCAGTCATTCCAGCCATGTATAATAGAATTTTGAATACTCATCTGTTAGAATAAAGCTTGTCTAATTTTTAAAATGTATTAGAATGTATCTTTTTTACTGGAAAGGTTGGTCATGATGCTCTTTTATCTTCTAGTGAAAGGCAGAGAACAAGATAAGACTTCAGATGCCAAGTCAGTTAAAGGTGAGTTCAGCAGCATTCCACAGTATTAAAAAGTGATGTGCTTTGCACTTATGAACTTTTTAATCCTGTTATCTTCTCCATTCTTTTGCCATTAATCATTTTGGCCTTTTAGAATTATTTACAATTTAACTTTTATATGCTCTTCAACACCTAGCATATGGTAGGCTTTTTTACTAAGCATCTGCTGGCTGTCCTAGTAATTACAGTGAACCAGTGCCTTTCTTACTAATCACATATTTGATTGTTCCCTGTGATTTGTTGACTTTATTTATTTTTTAAAAACCACGAAAAGTACTATTAACTTACAGCTGAGTGATGGCACTGCCAGCACAGGCTTGGTTTTCTGTTTATCCAGAAGTATTGGTGGTTACAGTTCGCACTTCATTACTTTGGATGAATGGCCTTAACTTAAAACTTATTCTGAGTACTTTATTGGAATCAATGTATTGTCCCTATTCATAAGACTTTCTTAAGTTATAATCTCTGCTGTAGTTTCGATTGGTTTCATTCTGTCAATGTGTAAATATTAGAATGGGAAATTGATAATAGAAGTTATTTCCATAGCCATTATGTATAATTTTATAAATGGAATTTATTTTTATGAAATCTATGGATTGCTGCTTATTTAGATTTTTCTTTCAAATGTTTATATGATGTGTGACTAGCATTGAATATTAAGTCTATATGCTCAGTTTTCCAGAGCAACTAATTATAACTTGTCAGAGATTTGTAAGATGATTTACTGCTTATTTCTAATAATTAAAAGTCAGTTGAATCATGTTAGGTGATTCAACTAACTAACATACTACCCTCTAACATGATTGGTATTGATAGAGGCTAAAAAGCCGTTAGTAAGCAGAGCCTTGTAAACTAGATCTGGTTGTACTAGAAAGGAGGGACTTGGATGTCTCAGGCATACTACTCTTGTACACTAACAGTACAACTTTGGAAGTCATGTCACTCTCTTTAAAGTCTTCATTTGTAGAATGAAAGGATTGGCCTGCCTAACTTCTAAATCAGTACCAGGCTAAAAAAATTTAATGCTTGCACTCTGTTTCTGACAGTAAATAATCCCTGCTTAGCATCCCTAACTAAATTGAAAAAAATCATTTGAAGATACCTTCATTCTATAATTTTCCCAACCCTTACTGAATAACCAATAAATATAGATACCTCAAAACAGGTATAAATATTCGTGCTCTTATCTGTGTTCTTTTATAAACACAGCTCAAGGAATAATAGATTAAATTACAGTTTTCATTCTGTAGTTTTAGTTTTGTTCCTTGGGCCAGCAAGGGTTAAGGAATGAAAAGGGCCAATTTTCAGAAAATCTGCTGGCTGTGGTATTGTCTGTCTTCAGAAAACTTCTCAAAGAAAGATCTCTTTCACATTCCATTTTGGCACAGTATTTTGAGGTTATAAATAATAATATGGCATTTCTTTCTACTTTTCTGCTGTTTGATTAATTTACCTTTCCCTTAAGCCTTGTTGGGTGTGCTCACTTAAGAGAAATGTTACAGAACTTAATTTTTGAAGTTCTTTTTAAGCCCTCTTTTGAAACAATTTAGAAACTACCAATTTTTGTCTAACTTTTAACAATTCTTTGAAAAATTATAGCCTCGATATCCGTACATTCCCCACAAAAAAGCACTAAAAATCATGCCTTGCTGGAGGCTGCAGGACCAAGTCATGTTGCAATCAATGCCATTTCTGCCAACATGGACTCCTTTTCAAGTAGTAGGACAGCAACACTTAAGAAGCAGCCAAGCCATATGGAGGCCGCTCATTTTGGTGACTTGGGTAAGTAACAGTTACTTTTTGTTGACTTACAATGTAGGAAGGAATTGAGTATATTATGTGAAACTCCTGTCAGTGGATACTGAACTGTATAATTGGAAGGAGCTTTGAAAAAAGTGTATTTTAATTAAAATAGCAGCTGTGAGTGTAATGGAAGCACCATTTGTTCCTATAAATACAAAATAGAAAGCACACCCAATAGAAAAATTGGCCATTTCCAGAAGAAGGTATACATTACATTGCCTGTGTGAAAAACATGCCTCATTTCACAAATAATCAGGGAAATGCAAATTAAATAAAAAGTTAATGTTCCCCCTAACACATTAGCAAGTATTTAAAGTTCAATAATTTGAGTGTTAATGTAGGTGTAGAGAAATAGCCATTTCTTTTTAGTGGAACTGTAAATTGTTGAAGAGTTTTTAGAAGGCAATTTGGAAGTATTTATCAAAATATATACAATCTAGTCCTGATACACTCACATATATTCATAAAGATGTATACATGAGTATATATAAGGCTATTCATTACAGTACTGTTGTAATAGGAAACAATTATGAACAGCATATAAATACCTATTAATAGAGAAGTGGGCAAATTTTGGTATACCCATACTCAGAAATACTTTGTAGACCTTTAAACGTCTGAAGAAGACATGGAGAAATGCCCAACATATGTTATAAAGGTGAAAAAAGCTGGTTACATAGCAGTAGATATAGTAGGATCCCTGTTGTGTTAAAATAACTTATTATCCCCCACACCCAAAAAAGGTATACAGGAGATTTCTTACAACTGCACATGAACCTACTATAGCTCAAAATTAAAAGTTTAGTTGAGAAAATTGTAAGTCTTGCAGGGGGTCAGGATTTCCTGAAGTTCATGAAAATGATGTCTACAGAGATGGACTAGTTAACATTGACAAGAAAGTCAGCAAGGATGATGACACGTGAATTGCTTCAAAGAATATGATTTGAATAGCGAAAGATTAAGAAAAGCCCTTTTAAAAAATTGATGAAGGCACTAAAGGGAACAAGGTCCCCAAAAAAGGTCTTAGTGTGATAACACCATTTTTTCCACTTTCAGTTTATGCCTGTTTCACAGGACTTCCAACAACAAAATGTTGGGACAGAACATTCTGAGATTCACCACCTCTGTGGTCAGTAGGAGCCACTTACTATGAGGAAGGTCCAGGGAAGGATTTGTCATTTTTGGTGGAAAACAAGGGTGGTTACTAGCTATGATGACTTTGTATTTTGGATCTGGATTTTTGCTACACCTTTCTTTATTGTAAGACACCAACTGCTTAAAAAATAAGGATGTTTTAGTTAATCCATGAAACAGATATGAAGAGGAGCATTTTAAGAGATGCAGTCTCTTTGAAAAATGGATCAAACTGTTGAACTTGACATACTAGATGTGTTTGTAAATAAACTTATGGCATGAATCCTTAATGCCTCTTCTCTGAAATACAAAATGTGATAATTAAAAAAAAATTTATAAAGCCATCAGTTAATTTTATGAAAATGAATTATGTTATCCTGTGACAGTTAAAATTTTTAAATTTTTTCTAATAGCTATGGTTATACTCATAATTTAAATTCAATTAAATATAAAATAAACTTGTTTTTATTAAGTTTAGTTTTATTTTTAAAGATAAAATTCCAGAGCTACTCTTTATTCTATTTTAAATAATGTTGAGAGTTCATAACACTTTTCTAGCTGTATCTGCACATCCACAATTGTTCCTTAGGGTTAGTTCCTAGAAATGGAGTTATTAGGTTGACAGTCATACATATTGCTAAGGTTTGCTGTCTGTTACTGAATGCTCCTCCAAAAAGATTTTGCAAGTTTACAGTCTCATCATCAGTGGCTGAGAATGCTTCCTGTTTTGTTGTGCACTAAAAGAGATGTAAGGATTGAGTAACATAGAGTTTTTAATAATTTTTTAAAGTTTTGCACAGTCGTTTCTTGTTTAGAAACCAAAACCATAATATTTCTAGTTCTTTATTCATTTACATTGCTAGGAAGTAAACTTTTGAAGAACTTTGATGCTAAAAGTGAATGACTAACTTGTCATTCACCTATTTGTTACTGAACTGCTAAAATTCTTTTGCTTTTTTCAGGCAGGTCTTGTCTGGACTACCAGATTCAAGAGGCCAAATCAAGCCTTTCAAAGACCCTTGAACAAGTCTTGCATGACACTATTGTCCTCCCTTACTTCATTCAATTCATGGAACTGCGGAGAATGGAGCATTTGGTTAAGTTTTGGTTAGAAGCTGAAAGTTTTCACTCTACAACGTGGTCCCGAATAAGAGCACACAGTCTGAACACAGTGAAGCAGAGCTCATTGGCTGAGCCTGTCTCTCCATCTAAAAAGCAAGAAACTGCAATATCTTTTGTAATGGAGTCTCTTGACAAGGGATTAGAGGATTCTAGCTCAGCCCAGTTGCTTATGACTCGATCAGAAGGAACTGATCTAAATTATAGAACTAACAATTCCCAGAATCACTGGTTTCTTTCCCAGGAATGTGACAGTGCCCATTCTTTCCACCCTGAAATGGCCAGAAGAGAAGCTCAGGAAATTTCCATGGAAACCCAAGAATCTTCCCCAAGACTTAAAGTAGCCAGGACAAATACTCTCTCTTCTCCACTAAAGGAATTATCAGAAAAACTAATGAAAAGTAAGTATGTGATTTCCATCTCTCTTTTTATTCTGGTTTTGTTTTTTTAGCAGTGTACAAAATGGAACTTGAGATAGTGAATAAAAGGGCTAGAATAATTTTTTTCTCCCACATCAGCTTTCAAATTTGGGAGGATTTGGTGAGTGCCCTGGAGTAGGATCAGTGTATAGGAAAGGAGCCAAAGGGATATCTGTAGTGATTGGATCCTCTAAGGAGAATGTTAGCAGAATTAACAAATGAAGGGTCAACTCTGATCCTGCTTTTTCCTTCTACAGATTTTGAAATCAAAGCGTTATCCGATAGGCTTAGTCCATCCTGTCTGTCTTAATTTTATTACAACCTGACTGTACTTTACAGATAAATTTATTTTTAATTGCTAGTAGGTGGCATTTATTGAGTTCTATGCTAAAGGCTATACTTAGATTTCATATAGTAATAACATTTCTGTGAGGTAGGCATTATTATCCTGTTTTCCATGAGAAAACTGTGGCTTAGAAAGGTTAAGTAAGCTGAGGTAGGCTATATAGTAAGTAGGGAGCTAGAAATATAGCCCAGGCCTGGGACAATAACACCTTTCTTTTTTAATTCTCTATTTGGAAATTATGCACTCATTTTTCAATTATCACCTTCTGGAATTCTAATTAGACACTGCTGCTTTTGGTATTATTTGTTCCTTGTTTCTCAAAGGGCTAGATGATTTTCTTTTTCTTGTTCACTTTTTTTCATTAAGATATATATTTTTTAGAGCAATTTAAAGTTCACAGCGAAACTGTGGGGAAGGTACAGATTTCCCATACACTGCCTAGACATTGTTTTGGTTCAATCTTCTGAAGCAAATGGTTCAACCATTTTTTGAGCCCTGAGCAATAGCCCTTGAAACTGCAAGCTCTAAGTCTCTTGAACTTGGTGGTTTTTCTCAGGTGAATACCCTCCCTGTCTTATACTTTTATTCTTGATTTACGCTGGCTTCTACAGGTCCACAATTCCTTACCTACAATTCAGAAATCTAGCAAATGTCAACTGCTACAAGTTATTTTTAAAGTCAATGAAACTTGCCCTGAACCGGTATGAACTGGTATTATTACAGAAATATGAATGTGTTTGATTATGAGGTACTGTCCCCGTGCTATTGGGGTATTGGTACAGTATATGTTAATAGTGTGTGACCTCTGTAAACACCCTCCCCCCAGTTCTGAATCCTGAAAGATTACCAGCTCCTGGGGTTTCAGATAAGGTTTCAGCCTGTACTTGTTTCTGCCTCTCATTTCCCATACTTGACCACAAGCTCTGGTATACTTTATAAAAGCATTTCAGGGGAATTTAGTGTTGGGAAGAGTTTTGTTGAGCATCTAGCCTACCCTGCTTCTAGAAATGGAAGTCCAAAGTCTGTTCCTATAATTTTAATATACTTTATTGTTTTTGGAAACTGTCTTTGTTTTGGTGGTACTTTATTTCAATACAAAATAGAAAAAGTAGTGGAGTTATTAAAAGAATACTTGTTTTTTTCTTTTTGCATTACCTTCAAAATTTATGTGCAGTTCAGTTGACCTTTTTGATTTACACTTGTATGAATTTTGACACATGCATAGAATCCTGTAACTGTTATCACAAGCAGGCTAAAGATCAGTTTTGCCACCTTTTTAGTTAAATCCCTCTGTATTCCAACACTTGAAATCACTGATCCATTCTCATTCTCTAGTTTTGCCTTTTCCAGAGTGCCATATAAGTGAATTTATATAGTATATAGCTTTTTAGTCTGGCTTCTTTTACTCTGCATAATAGCTTTGAAGTTCATCTATGTTGCTTATATCAATAGTTCATTGCTTTTTAGTGCTAAGTAGTATCCCACTGTATGGTGGTACTATCCATCTACATATTGAAGGACATTTGGATATTTTCCAGCTTTGATGATTATGAATAAAGCTGTTATAAACGTTTGTTTACAGGCTTTTCTATGGACAAAGTTTTTATATATCTCTAGGGTAAATGTCTTATGGGGGTGCTGGATTATGTGGTGTGTATTTAATTATGTAAGAAACTCCCAGGCTGTTTTGTAGAGTGTCTCTGCCATTTTGCATTCTCACCAGCAGTGTGTGAGTTCTATTTGCTTGTCTCTTTGCAAGCACTTGGTATAACTGGCTTTTTGTTTATTTGGGTATTTTTAAGCCATTCTAACAGATGTGTAGCAGTATCTCATTATGGTTTTACTTTGCCTTTTCCTAATGGTTAATGATGTTCAATTATGTACATCTTTGCCATCTTTGGTGGATTGTTCTTTGGTGAATTGTTCAGGTCTCTCCCCATATTTTGTTGGATTGTTTTATTATTGTTGAATTTTGAGAGTTTTTTTTTATATGTTCTGGATATAAGACCTTGATTTGCAAATGTTTTCTCCTAGTTTATAGCTTGGTTTTTTTTTTTTCACTCATTTAACAGCATCTTTCACAGAGCAAAAGAACTTTCTGATTAAATTCAGTTTATCAATTCTTCTTTTATGGATTATACTTTTGGCATCATACCTGAGTACGTTTTGCCTAATCAAAGGTCATGAAGATTTTCTTCTATGTTTTCTTATGAAAATATTATGATTTTGTACTTTACATTTAGATATATCGTCTGTTTTGAATTAGTGTAAGGTATGATGGTTAGGTCAAATTTTTTGTTTTATTTTTGCATGTGGATACCTGATTATTTCAACACCACTAATTGAAAAGACTGCTCTTACTACACTGAATTGCCTTTGTACTTTGGTCGTCTTAGTGTAGGTCTGTTTCTGGACTCTGCTCTGTTTCATTGTATGTGTCTTATTTCTTCACCAATGAGACTTAGTTAAAGTCTTAAAATTGGGTAGTATGAGTCTTCCAACTGTGTTCTTTCTTTTTCAGATTATTTTGTCTGTTCTAGTTTCTTTTATTTTACCATAAATTTTAGAATAAAATTTAGAATCTTATCTCTATTATGAGAAACCCTGCTGGAATTTGTATTGGAATTGCATTCAAGCATTATTTAGGTCAGTTTGGGGAGAATTTACAATTTAACTGTATTGGGTCTTACAATCCAAAGACATGGTATGCCTCTTCATTTGTTTAGCATTTTATAGCTTTTAGCATAAAGATTCTTTACATGTTTTGTCAGATTTAGATCTAAGTATTTTACCAGTGCTTTTATGAATGGTATTTAAAGTTTTTTTTGTTTCTGATTTTTTAATGCTAGTTTATAGAAATATGACTGACTTTCATATGTTGACCTTCTGTGACCTCACTAAACTCACTGACTACTTTTAGGAGCTTTTTGGGTAGATTGCTTGGGATTTTCTACATAAACAATCATGTTATTTGTGGATAGAGACTGAATTATTTCTTCCTTTCCAATCTTTTTTTTTTCCTTCTTGTCTTACTGCACTAGCTGGGACTTCCTGTACCATATTGATTAGGAGTGGTGAGAACACAGTCACTGTTAAGTATGAGATTAGCTATGAGGTTTTTATAAATGCCCTTTATCAAGTATATGCAATTCCCTTCTCTTAATTGTTTATTTAGGGCTGTTTGAATCTTGAATGGTGTTGAATTTTGTCAGATATATTTTTGTGTCATTTGATATAACCATATGATTTTTTTGGTCTGTTAATAGAACATTGATTTTTATTTAATATTTAATAAGCTTGCATTCTCCTGGCAAGACACATTTGGTTGTGGTATGTTATTCTTTTTATATTGCTGGATTTGTTTTCCTAACCATTTTTATTTCTAGACTTATGATGCACGTTGGTCTTTAGTTTGTTTGCCTGTACTGCTTTTGTCTGGTTTTGGTTTCAGTGTGATGCTGGCCCCAAAAATGAGTTGGGAACGTTTTCTACCTCTTTGGTTTTCCCAAAGAGATTGTGTAGAATTGGTATTAAATGTTTGGACCCTGGCTGGTGTGGCTCAGTGGATTGAGCACCAGCCTGTGAACCAAAGGGTCGCTGGTTCGATTCCCAATCAGGGCACATGCCTGGGTTGCAGGCCGGGTCTCAGGAGAAGGGGGGCTTGTGAGGGGCAACCACACATTGATGTTTCTCTCCCTCTCTTCTTCTCTTCCCTTCTCTCTAAAAATAAATAAATAAAATTTACAGAATGTTTGGTACAGTTTGCAAGAGCCTGGAATTTTGTTTTTCAGAATGTTTTAAATTACGAATTCAGTTTCTTTAGTGTATGTAAGACTGATCAGATGATCTTTTTTTAGTGAATTTTAGTTATTTATAGTTTTTAAGGAATTGTGAATTTAATCAAATTCTTGACTATATGAGTATGCAGTTATCTACCATTACCTTAATACCTGTTTAATCTTGGGTTTACAGTGATATCCCTTTTTCATTCCTGACATTGGCAATTGTGTCTTCTTTTTTGTAAGTATGTGTAGGGATTTATTTGTTCTTTTCAAGGAATCAGCTTTTGATTAATTGACTTTTATCTGTTGTTTTTTTGTTTTCAGTTTAATAAATTTTATGCTTCGTATGTTTTTCCTTCCTCCTGCTTGTTTTGGATCTATTTTATTCTTTTTCTAGTTTATTAAGGTGGAAAATTTAGATTGCTCATTTGAGATCTTTCTTTTTTAAGATAAGCATTTAATGCTATAAGTTTCCTTCTAACCACTGCTTTAGGTACATCCCACATATTTTGAACTGAGCAAAAGTTAAATGTCTAACTTCCCTTGGTTCTTACCCTTTTGTCCATGGATTATTTAGAAATATGTTGAGAGGATCCAAGATGGCAGCAAAGGAGGTAGAAGTTACACTTACCTCCTCCCAGGACCAAACTGGAATTACAACTAAAATATAGAACAATCAACCTCAATAACCAACTGAAGACCAGCTGAACAGAAGTCTTTACACAAGGATTTACACAAGAAGCCACATCAAGACTGGTAGAAAGCGTGGAGGTGCAAAAAGTGCTGGTTCCGTGCCTATGTGCAGCAGCTGAGAAACCAGAGATATCTCATCTGTAAAGGTGCCACTCCTAAGG